TTTTTCCACTCTTTCTCTTTGTCGTTTTTGGGCATTTTACCACCTGCTGCGACCAGCATCCTCGGCAAGGATCCGACGTCGACGCCAACGTTGCTCCTAGTTGCGATCGTTGTTTCTTTCAGTGTTGCGATCTCTGCTTGCAGAGAGGAGGATGAGGAGGAAGAAGAAGAAGAAGAAGAAGAAGAAGAAGAAGAAGAAGAAGAAGAGGAAGAGGAAGAACGGCGAGCGACGGATGCGACGTTGTTTCGAGCGCGCGGCCCTCTCTCCTGCTGAACAGCTGGGCAAAAAAAGAAAGAAAAAGAGGAAAAACCGAGAGCCGAGTCGTCTGTTCTGACGACGTTCTCTCGTCGACGGATCGTTATCGGAGCAACGATGAGCAACGACGGGCAGGCAAAGAGGAGCCGACGACACACGCTGCTTCTCGTTGTTTGCATCTCATTTCGTGTCAACTCGTTGATCGTTTGCCATCCAAAGTCTCGCTCGATTTAACGAGTCTTCTGCTTACCTGCCGTGTTCATACCAACGGTGAAGCACCTCTTCAGGCGGCAGTACGGGCACCAATTGCGCCTGGCTTTGTCCACGAGGCAGCCGCCAGTCCCCGCTGCAAAAAACAAGATTCACGGAATCGCGATACCTCGCGGAATCGTCTCGTCTCGGGGAACAAGAGGGAGGTTTATTTTTCTGAACGAACGAAACTGATCGAACGAGAAAGATACTCGCCGATAGGACCAGATCTTTCGTATATACCTATACAGGTGAAAAGGACGCCGCGACGCACCGACCGCTTGAAGAAGCAGGAACAACCGTCGCAGCAGTAAACTCCGTAATGCTTCCCGTAAGATCGGTCGCCGCAGACTCTGCAAGCAACCGGCGTTGGCAGCGTTCTTCCTGCGTCCGATCGAGGAGCAGCACCAATTAATCGAACGGTGCCTCTCACCAATTCTTCTCTCGATCATCACTCAATTAGCCCTCACTTACCCATGTTTCTAGGCTGCGAACGATGTTTCGGGTCCCGGGACGATTCGAACGGTCGGATCGAAGGAAAACTTTGCGTAGAACTCGCGTTGTAGGACGACGACGACAACGGTTCAACTGACGACGACGACGACGACGACGACGACGACGACGATGAGAGATCGAACGAGCAGGGAGGGGTTGAATGAGGAGCGTCAGTCGAGTCGTCAGACCGCGAAAAGACAATATTTGCCGAGCGTCGTGGAGAAATCCACGTAGGCGACAAGCTCGTGAGTAGCGGGAGGAGGGTGATCGAACGATGGAAGGACAAACGAGACACAACAAACGAGGTCGAAAAGCTACTGGTATTTATTATAGCGCGCCGGAAGAAGAAGAAGAAGAAAAAAAAAAAGAAAACTAATCATACAGGAACTGTACAGAAAAAAGCTGACTTATCTCTTCGAAGCGGACAGATTTCTTCGGATTCGCCGCGCGTCGATTCTTACCGTCCCGACGGTATCTCGATCGAACTCGCTCTCTTCTCCAAAACTCGACTCGTAAATTTTTATTTACAATCGAGTGTCCTTCGACGAATCCGCGTCTGCGAGCCCGAAACGCGTCGGGACGAGGACACGAGTGGAGAAGCCTCCGGTGCGAAGTATCAATCGACGAATTGCCTCTTCTCTCTTCGAGGGGCGAACGCGCGATTACCAAACTGGCGACGCGAATCGTCAAACGATCTCGTCGTTGGTTGGTTGGTTGGCCGAGAGACGG